TAACTTTGATAAAATATCACATTTTCAGTATAACTAGTTTTTAACTGATCTCAAAATTTCTAATTTTTATGTAAGAAGTGGCATTTTCATTTAAAAAATAGTATTAAACCTTAAAAACATGTATTTATTATTATTACAACTTTACTCTCAATCACTGTATAATTCCACGCCCGTTATTAAGAATGACTCGAAAATCTTTAAATATACATTAGTATAGGAAATTGCAAGATCTTAAGTACAATTCGGAATTTATGTTTTTGAAAGTTTTCAATTTGAGAACTTTCAAAACATCACAAGTATCTATAAATTCTGAATTGTATGAGAAGATTGTGTGATTTTTTGGTTATAATACACTCAACAAAATTGAGCAACTTGATTGGGGCTCTACAGAGTACAATTTGGGATTTAACTGTAAGTCTCCTCTTGTCCAATCAGAACCGTGTCAGAACCGTGTTGAGTATAAATCACACAAATTTGAATCACCACAAGGTATTTAAAAGTGTAAATTATCCTAAATAACATTCAATTCATTTTAAAAATATCATAATAAGAACCCTGATTCTTTCTTTGTCATTTTACTATCCTACCTGCATTAAGACTGCCTTTTTCAAACTCAAAAGGCTGGCTACTATTGAGATCAAATACTCTGGTAACCAGTACTTCTGCCTCCACAAAGTCCCTTTACTTTGTCAACGGTAAAAACACAACCTTCCTAAAAATCCAAAAGTATTTTAACTGGGTTATATGGAGACATTTACGCAATGACACAATGGATTTTCAGATGACTAGTTCTTCTTTTGTAAAAAGTCTCTTGTTTAACTGTCAAATATAACACCCTTAGGAACTGGTCATAAAGTAAAGGGGGTGGAGGGGATGGGGGGAGGAGGGCTTAACACTGGAGTCCAAGGAGCTCTTTTTTTTCTGGCCAAGTAGACAGCCCACCACTTTTAAGAATTTCAAAATTGTATGATGCACCCCCCCTGTTTAAAAAGTTTACTTTATGACCAGTCAGTTACATAGTTACTTATTACAATTTCCTTACTACATGCCCATTTCACATTTTTTGTATTTTGCACTTGGTTTTCATAGATCGAAGAAGCAGTAGGGGGCAGTATATTTTATGTCTATAATTGTTGGAAGACTATTGCCAGCTTAGAAGTATAGAATTGTATTAAAAAACACAAACTGTAATGTCAGTTTTTATATTTTTGTAAAATAAAGTTGTTTTGGCATTTCAGGGACGCAAACAAAATGACAATTTTTGTGATTTGCCCCCTCCCCCTTTGGAAAATTCTGGCTACACTCCTGCTAATGGAAGAGCCCCTTAGGGGTCAGAGATAATGATAATAATATATATATAATTATAGTACGAAAGGATAATTACCTGCATAAGCATGAATAGATCAGACCAAAAGGGGTAATTAGGCAACAGCTCCTTCCCTCTAGCTCCTCTGGTCACTTTAAGAAATAGCATCCCGCCCAGCAAATAGATCACCAACACACTGAAAAAACTGCATGCATGGTATTTGTAACATCAATAACAAAAACAAATATCAAGTTTTGAAGTTCAACACTTTTTTCCTATGTAACCAAAAATCAATTGATTATACTCCCTTTAAACAAAATATTATATGATCAGATACAACATTCAAAAATAAAGTCTCAAAAATACTTAAGTGTTTGACTGTGCCAAGACAATAAGCAAGGGGTAATATGGTTATAATTGGACTAAAGGTAAAGCAATATGGGCAACAAAATCATGCAAGCTGTAAGCTGCAGAGCAAAATTAATGTTGTTCATATTACAACTGCATGCAACAAATCTGCACTGTTGCACAAAGCAAAAACTCTGTTTACTCTTTATTTTTTGCAACGATAAAAATGTGTTGTGCAATAAAAGAGTTTTGAGCAAGAGAACTGAGGCTAACTGAGAAACCACGAACTCAAAACTGGAGTATTCATTAAAACAATTAGCCATCAATAGTAGCAAGAATTTACACCAATTATGTATTTCATGGCCAGCCTTGATCTATGTTTTCTTGTGGGCTTAGCCCACAACTTAATTTGTAAACTAAACACCTACATGATAAGCAGTACTGATCCAGTGCTAAGGTTCTTGTTTAGAGGACAAGCATATTTAGAATGTAATGTTGCTTTCTGATGAACAAAAGAAAAAAAAAATGACTGAATAAAAAATATATATGTGTGGTTGTAAGGTAAGCTATTATAAACAATACAGCTGACCACTCATTAATACGTTATCACCCACTTACCGACATCTTAACTGTTATGTTACTCACACCGTGGAAACATGTTAACGTGAATATTAAAAAATACCATCACTAGTTGTATCCTATTGTCTTGTTGTAATCAAATACCACCCCTGACCGTGTTTCCTTAAACCCTGGCTAAATGATGAGACATGTTTCCATGAAGCATGTAAATAGGAAATTTTTCTGCCACACTGCAGAAACATGTTTTGCTTCTTTGAAACAACATTTGTCACATTGCAATTTTCTGGTCACACTTAGCTAAACTGGGAAACATCAAGGATGCATACATGCAGTAAACATGTTTTCTCGTTTAGGCAGGGCTCTAGAAGGACTGTCTGAGTGTTATGTCTGGCCCCTTGACATTTATTTGTGGTTGTCTAAAGCAGTTTTATAAATGCCTTTTCAACTTGTGCGAAAACGCATTTGTGCAAAATGACCAGTGCCCTTTTAACAGATGATAGGCATTTTTTAATGAATGTGACAAACTTCAACACAGGGACATAGGGTTGGCTCAATCATTTCTGAATCAGGTAGATATGCACACCTAATAATACTCATGGCAATAATCAACAGCATGACCCTGACATTGGAGGGTATCAACCAATAGCATACTGTACTATTAACCTACCAACATCCTACATCTAACAGCCTACTGATACCTGCTACCAATAGTTAGACTACCGACAATTTACTGATACCCAAATTAAGTACCCAATAGCAACCAAAGTAAGTACCCAATAGCCACCAATTTGGGTATGTATAATTACGTTTAGTATTAGGTACATAATTATACAGCTTCTCATTAATCCCATATAGGTAACTGTCCAATTATTTTCTTAATTGGACAGGTCTTTTGATATGGGATTAATTAGGCAGCTATATAATTAATAGGTAATGGGATTTCATGTTACCCAATCAAGAAATAATTAGACTCGAAAAATTCCTCTGACTACCAAATTGGACTGGGCCTACAGCCTCATTTACATATTATTATTATTATTATTATTATTATTATTAATATTATTATTATTATTATTAAAAGAATAAATATAAAAATTTCCACATCTGTTTAGACTTCTTTCTATTAGCTTCTCTGCATGAGTGGCTTTATCTTAAAGTACCCATAATAAGGAGCACTGATAGTGTAGTATCGTTACTAACACTGTATAGTGTACACCACTGCCGAACCCACCTGCTCAGTTTCTACAAAGTTTGCAACATGACCTTCATCATTAGTCCCTCTCACATAGAACCTAGTGCCAGCCCTCTCGCAGCTCAGCCTGGAAATTAGGCAAGCCTTTGCTTGTTTGGCTCCAATGTAAACAGTCTTGATTTCTACACCACCACACATTATACTCAACAACCAGTGAGAACAATTAACACCAAATTTTTCAACATGAACCTGAAGACTACGGTTCCTGGGAAATTAGTATATATAAAATTATGTATTTATAACAAAATTAAACTGTAAACTACTTATGGGAAATATACCCTTTTGGCTTGATTAATAATAGGGAACGACTGTTTGAAAAATCCCATTCCAGAACAAGTGTCATTCCCTAGAGTATCGCGATTCACTAAATTTTGAGACCACAATATTGTGTGCTATTATCATTTCAAAATTAAGGTTTCTGATTGGCTAATGCGCAACGAAAAGGAAAGCTTGAGCACACGAGCATCAAATTTTTATGCTTGTTGCTAACTCGTGACTGGCCAATGTCGAATATATTTTCTCCGAACTAGCCGTCAATATTTCGTGGTATTGTCATCTCAAAATCATAATTAGTTTATAGTATCATTATTGGTGGTTGCACTTGAAAAGACACATAAATATGGGTCCACAGCTCAAACAAAGAATCTTTTTTGACTCAAGAAAATAAAAACCCCAAGCTTACAGAGTCTAATTAGTAATATGTCCTGGAGTCCTCGAGTCTACAAGTCAATAGCCAATGATGCCTTTTTCTTCCACCCATTCAACCCCACAATCCTTTGCGCATGTTGGTCATCGACAGGCTTCCTTTGAGCACCAGAAACGAAACAAACTCAAAACTTACCACATAAATCGGTTATCAGATTTCTGTTTATCATGCTGTCTCTGAGCGCTAAGACTGAGATCTAGAGGCAACTGTTCACCTTGAGACACAGCAAAATAAAAGTTACTTGAATTAAGCAATTTACGGATCTCTGTGATGCTTTCATCATCTTGTCCTTCTTGTAATGGGACAAAATGGGTAGCATTTATCTTGAAAATTTCACTCTCCTGGATCTTGCCAACAGAAGTACAGCCTGTCACAAGAACTAGGAAATAAATTGTTTCTTCCTCATCTGCAATCATAAAAAAATAAACTGTTATTGAGCTCTGGGATTTTTATATTTAAAAATTTACATAAGTTTATATTTCCAAATTCTCATAAGTTGCTCAAAGGTTACAAATCGACTTTTAAAAAGTTAGAATTCCAGTGTATTGTGTGACTTTCTGAGGTGACATATTCCAAGATGGCATCTATTTTGTCCCATGACATTCCCTAAATGCTCTGTAATACCAATTCCACCCATAACTCCCCCTCATCCTTGGAATATTTATGGCTAGTAGTGTAGTTAAATGGATTGTGACAATATCTGGGCTAGGGGTAATGACCCATGGTATGACCAGTTATAACCTATGGCCTTCCCAATAAGTATTGGTATCACAATTCAAAAAATAAACTTACACCCTCCCCCTTGAGTATGACAGACTCGTACTGCTTGACAGCATTGTACATGTTATATATAGTGATGTTTTTGGCCCCTTTACTTGTGATGCCTTCAAGCTATGAGCACACAACATATAATTCCCTTGAGTATTATTTTTTTTGTTTATTAATACTTGAAAAGACAAATTAATTAAGTTGAGACTCATATGAGATTGAACTAATAGTAGAAAACATATTATGCTTATAACAAGATTGCAGCGATTAAATGAGGAACCTTTACAACACGAGATTTTCAACAGGAATTAGTCAGAGGAAAATTGAGATATATTTAGATGTAATAAAACTTATCATATTATTGAAATCAGTTTATATCTTATAGATATTAAGGGAAGTGGAATATTCCTCTATAGATTCTTGGTAAAAATATTAGAAACAATAGACATATCATGAACATAATATAAAAGCTATTTAAGCTGAAGCTCATTGAAATATTGAATAACGAAGCCCTTCATTCATTATCATTACAATAACAAATAGAAAGTACAAGTTCCAAAGGTCTCAACTACCCAAGTTTCTCTTCCAACCTCGAAAGTACAAGACTATTAATAAACAATTGAGTTAAAAGAAAGATTGACAGATATTTAAGCTCATAACGAAAGGTTTTAACTCACTCATCCAGCACTTACCAAGATTGATTTTCAATACTCCAAGACAACCATACGCGTCCACGACTTTTGTATAGTTTTTCTTTATTGTCTCTGTCTCCAACTGAGCTATATATTAAAAAATACTCATTTTTAACTTCTACATACTTCTACTAATAATTCTTAGTAATACTATTTTAAGCTAAAGGTTTACTTACAAAGTTGGGCTATGGCTCCACTCTCAAACAACAATGTTTCCGTACGGTGTTTGCATTCCAGGAGAATAGAAACAGGGTCTTTATCTGTTTTAGTATAGCAAGTAAAAGATTTTCCTATCAGCATTTTTAATTTTAAGCTGTAAATATTTTTGTTCTCAAAATAGTTCTGTTTATTTGGCGACCGCCATCTTTATTTCCCGTAGATGACCGCTGTCACCTCCTTGTCTAAACCACTGGCTCAGGATGGAAGTGGAACTTCCAGGAGTGCGGATTGTTGGATTTTTTTGAACCATTAAAATCTAGATTTGCCGATAGTTTTGCTTAAAAAAATTTACTTGAAATTTTCCCTTCGTTAAACCTATGAATTCGAACGAGAAATTTGTTAAGATTGATGAGCAATTCTAGAGTCCAATATTTTGCTGTAAACATTGAATAAATCGGAATTTGCATATAAAATTTGCATTTGGTAATAATTCCTTTTGTAGAAAAGCCATTAGTGCGTATAAAAAAGTGACTCAAAGGACTTACATCGCCTAGGTCTAGTTTCGTAAGAAAAGTAACTTATTTTCTAATTTTATCACCAAAAATACCATATTCTCAAGAGATCTAGATTGCAAAGAGTTAATGGACAGGGCTTGTGGTTGTTGTGATCAGCTGTTTTGAGAGGGAGTCAAGACAAATACGATAATATACCTAACGGTTTGTGGACGACGACAAAAGCACATTGCAAGCACGTTGATAGAAATACTTATCTCCTCAAGCAGTTGGATGTATGCCGTTACTTAAGCTGTTACGTTGAAAGTTTTCAGTAATATTGACTGCAAATGCTGACGGGATTTTGGTTAACCTGACGATTGTGGTCATTGGAAACGTAAAGAAGACTAGACAACTGGATTGCCGAGTCTTTTATAATGAATGAAAATTTGCTTAAAAGATATTTTATGATGATGATGTGATGTGACTTCGCTGTTTATCAATAAATCAGTTTTAGTAGAATTCTCCTGCCTTCGCGATACGGCGTAAAACTGAGCTCACCATTTTGAGGAATCACTTGTAACTAGCTAAGACGGCATACACAAGAGACTCCGAAACGAAAAACTTCGAAATACAGTTTCAAAACGCTTGTATTTTTATCCAATAAATTATATGTAACGCCACACAGACGTATTACAGAAAATAATTTCCGTGCTGCCAAGAAAAATAATCAACCAAAATTTCTCCTGGAAAACAGGAACCTTCATGTCGAGGAAGAAAAAACAGCATTTGAACATCAGCTGTAATTTGGGACTATTCAGAGCAACGTATTACAAATATATAAAGATTCATGCTTCGGGTTCACAGAACTTAACCACTCTTCAGAAATTAAAATTTATCAAGGAGCAAACGATTTTTCCACGTGAAGAAAAGTTCTCATTTTGTTGGTGAAGATGCTACGCAATTGTCGATTCTTGTTTTTCTTTTGTCCATGCAGGCGTTTGTGTTCTCCAAGAAGACTGTTGATGTTTGGAATGCTTCTCGTGCTGTATTTTATAACGAACTTAATCATTAAGTCGGAAAATATTACTGCAGGGAATTTGGACAGGAATACATACAAGCATCAAGCTCATGTCCCGAAATCGAGGTGAGTTAATTTAAACGCGGGTCAATCCTAATCCAAATCATTGTCACTAAGGTCACATAAAATAGAATGGATTGCCTAGTTTCTAGTAGGCAGTCAAAAAACGAGATGCTGCGAATGCAACCCCTCTTCACCTAGACTATGTCGCTCTTTGGAGGAAGAGATCAGGGGAGGATTGTGCTACATATTTTCTACTCTCATTTTAAAATTCTTTTTCAGTATAAATTCCAATATTTTTTAAAATTATTTGGCTGAAACTGAAAAATGGGAAAATTTGTTTGATTGGTGAACATCATCACAAACCAATTGTCACGCTTCTATTAGCAAGAAAATACAAAATGATTCTAAGTTTCATGCAGTAAAGAAAAGAGAAAGAAATTACAATGGTACTTAAGAATCATAATTTTCATTCTTCTTTTTCTTGCAGTTTAAAAGGGTTTTCTCATCTGAAGCCCAAGATACTGACATTACCTGCACCACGGCCAATTTCTGAGTTCGTAGCTAGTAACGGAACAGTACCATGCCTTAAAAAAGGAACGAAAAAAGTAGATAAAGAAGGATGTGTCTGCAAAAACGGTTGGTTTGGAAAATCCTGCAACATACCAGAATCCATTCACTTTTCCAAAGAACTTACAACCAAGGAATTCCTGGAATTTCGACCTGCAACAGCCAGGCGTATTATTTATGCAGCTCCTTTTAACCACGAATTTGCAATGCTAGAAGCAATACTTAATGACTTGAATGATCTAGTTGACGCGTTCATCATTCTGGAGTCACCTTTTTCAGCATTCGGTGTCAGGAAACCCGTACGGCTGCTTCCCAGACTTCATCGAGGCTACCTTAAAAAATTCCATTCAAAAATGTTGTATTTATATCTTGATCATTTTCCTCTTAATGGGAGAAAAAAAGGTCATATTGCCGACTCGTATCTAAGGTCTTATCTTGGGAAGAGAGGAATGCCTAATATAAGGAACGTCGCTGATGATGACTTGTTCTTAGTATTTGATATGGACGAAATACCTTCACGTGACTCTCTTATCTTCTTGAAGGCTCATGATCGTTATCCAGAACCGTTTGGCTTCCGTTTTAGATGGTCTGCCTTTGGATACTTCTGGAAGCACCGTCATTACAGTCAAGTACCTGCTGGATGTACAATTGGTATGTTGAGGAAAGTCTACCATGATGACTCCAATCTAGTGCGTGACGTCCATCATGGCGTGACTAAAAACAAACAAGAGGAATTCCTGGAATACAGACAGACTAGTTTGGTTCACCCATGGTTCCTAGGAGAAGTTGGACACTTTGCTGGGTGGCATTGCTCAAGCTGCTTTGATCTTAAAGGCATTAGAACAAAGTTTATGTCAGCTCAGAATGCAGATTGGCCGAGATGGGGTAGCATACCTGAAAAAATGAGCCTTGAAAGTATTCGAAATATGGTAAGAGATGGAAAATGGTTCGATGGGTCTAATCTTAATAATCGTGCGGAATCCCAGATAGCATCCCCAGAGAGCGACCCTTTCTATGCGCCTCCTTACATCATGAAAAATGCTGACAAATTCCCTCACTTGATGACGAACATTTACACAGGTGAATATATTGAGGAAAAGGACAATGCCTTTTACAATAGTGCGCATACGCTTTTGACATCCGATATATTAAAATACATGTCAATAATGTTTTTAATAATTATATTATGTAAGTAAATGAAGAGCATGAGATATTTGAAGAAAAAAAAGTTGGCGAATGTTTTTAACTTGTTTAATGTGGGATATTGCTTACCAAGCCTTGTAATGTATAACAATATGAAATTAATGATAGCACAGGAAAAAGACGTTCTACTCAGCATCATTAAGGCATAGCTCTCAGATGAAAAACCGTTTAGCTATATCATAGCCAGTTTTCTACCAATCTTACCCAAACTTGGCAAGTTAATGTCTTTTGTGAAAAGAAGGAACCTTAAAGCCTTGGTTGCCATGGAAACTAAGTCACGTGACAACCAGATCGCCATCCTTTTGAAGTCCTATTGAAACTACTTCAAAAGTCCTGAAAATCCATATTCCTTCTTATATTTACAATGCCTATATGGATCTAATTGGATATCTTGGAAAATATCTTAAGTTTAATTTTTAGAATATTTTCTATTTTTTCCAAAAAATTGAAAACATTCTAAAAATTAAACTTAATATAATATACACCTGGGTTCAAACCTTTTACTATTAGAAATAGCTGTACTGCAAATAGATATTTTCGAAAATAATATATAAGAAAACTATTTTCTGCATTAAAAAATCGTATGAATAAAACATATAAAAACATGACGTGCTGGTATGAAATATCTAATAATGATAAATTTAGGTTTTTTTTTTCATATTGTATTATCTCTGCAAATTGCACAAATCGATAAACGAGCGTGCGCGAGCGCATTATATTCACCTGTAGGTGAATATCACAGCATAAGACTTAAATTGTGACCAATGAGCGCGCAGGATTTATTATATTCACTAGTGTTAAGATACTAAAACGTGTTAGTGTGCATATTTCCCATCCGGATCCATTATTATCATAGTTAGTCGTAACACGAAAAACCAGACGAAATGAGTAGTCCTCTAATAAAGAAAAGAAAAATCTCATCTACTGATACAGCTCCGGATCGAATTATTACTGCTGTTAGCTAGGTCACGTCTTCACTCAGACTGCACAAAGTAAACAAAATAGAAAAACAAAAAAACCAAAGAATAAGAAGGAGGGAGCTAGAGAGAAAACAATGTAATGTAAACAAGGTAAAACACTTTTGTTAAATACATGTTGACTGACTTTAATGGTGTCATAACCTTTCTTGTGTATACATTCTCAATCACTAACTAAAGTGGCTAAGGAAGGGTTTATAAAAGAGCAACTACGCGGTCTTCGCATCTTCATCACTTCACACACCAGCAGCTTTCTTGTCAACATCCTCGGGATTTATGACGTCAGTAGCTGATAAGATTGACTGCAACGCCACTGATATCTGGAGATCGACATCAGACCAATTGCCTCCTCTTGCTGCATCAAACAATGTGTCACCTATCCCAGGGAAACTTGAACTACCATAAGCATTGTACCGCTCAGGTGCAAAGGCTACGTGACGGATAAGTGGTCGTCCTGGCAACCCATAGGGATAAACGAATGCCTTTTCCACGCTGACCATTTGATCATTGAGTCTGCGTAGAAGAGAAAAGCTTTTCTTGTCAACATCATCGCCAGTGAGTTTAGACTTGACTTCATTGAAAGTTTTCGTTGAAGCGAGAAACTTTTCAACAGCGTTTGCTAAATGCTTCAATGTGATGCCGTGACTTTGTAAGTTTGCTTCTTCTTTGGATTTAAGGAGATTATAAGCATCTCTAATCACATCAGCATACGTAGACACGTCCATTGGAAGCATAGGACTGTCTGCAATTTCAAGCAGCATACCACCAACTATCTGTGTCACCGCCTTGTGGAATTTAAACTCTGGATCAACAAACTTCTTGACCCATTGAAAAGTGTCATGTTGAGTGTGATAGACTGGGTAGTACGACACACTGTTGTTATACCCGAACTGATACGTCATATCAGTAGATGGGATGCCCATGTGATGATAAAAATGCGCAAAATCACTCACTGAAGTCAAGACTTTCACGTTAGGCTTCTTGGGGTCTTCCTTGGACGGATTGCGCTCCAACATGATGTCATAGACACTCTCTTTATCGTCATGCGCATTGGGGTCCTTAACTATTTTGATCCATTTGATCAGAAGTTCTTTTAATAGTGGAGTTGCTAAGGCTTCTAGTGCAAAGCTTCCGCCTACAGCGATGTCGACGTTCAAGTAGGCAACAGCTCTCTGGTCTAATTTTTCTCTGTGTTCTTCCACCCATTCTCTTGAACCAATGCAGCTGTATTCTTCACCTCCCCAGCTTGCAATCTGATACAAAATTACAATAACACAGTAAATGCACCAATAGGAAAAGTGCGCGTGTGCTGTGTGCTCTAATGAAGCACGCGCTCCAAACCAACCAAAACGCGAGATTTATAACATTTATTTTATAATAACATGATAAGTGTTTTTTAAGGGCATTGTGTTTTTTTATATTATTTATTTATTTATTTATTTTATTTTACCTTTTTTTTTTATTATTATCATTATTATTATTTAATTTTTTATTTATTGCACAAATCTCATTCTGAAGGAGTTTTTGTTATCGAAAACAAACTAGAAACATTAGATACCGAAAAGTATTTTGGAAGCGTCAGTGATCTTTTGAGGTAAACTTTGAGGGCTACAGAGGTTAAAGGAAATAGCTTACCTTTATAGTTCTTCTTGGACGCCATTTTGTTTTTCTGAGTGACCCAAGCACACGTGCAATCTCTGATGTAGACGCAGTACCACTTACTGCATCCACTGCCCCGAACACCCACGAGTCTCTATGGTTACCTACGATCACATATCGATCTGGTTCCTCTTTACCGTGGATCGTACCTATGACATTGTAGATAGTCTTGACTTCGATCTTGTTATGAAGCTCCATCTTGACTTTCATGTTCTCGTTGAAGCCTGGTCCCAATCGATATGTTATCGGCAATGCGCCTTTCCATGACTCGGGTACTTCATTACCTTAACCAGTTAAAAGTATGTGTAAATAGAAACATTCAGTTAAAGCGTATTGCTTAACCAAGTGTCATTCCCTTTAGGAACAGGATTCTTGAAGTAATATTTCAAAGCCGATAATGAGGACTGGACGGGATTTCAATTCCGCTTAATTAGTTCCAATCCGAGGCGCAGCCGAGCTTGCTTTGAAATGGCTTCTCATACTCATTAATGATTCGGGAGGTTACAATATTTGTTTAGGACTGAAAGCCTTAAGGGACAGGTCCCTGAATTAATTTTGATTCAGTCCAAGGACTTTTACAGGACTTTACCAGGTTTCATGTAGCTTCATGTGACACAAAAAATAGCCCATTGCTTGGCTGGTTTACTCATGAATTATTAATGAGGATGAGAAAGTATGTGTAAATAGAACTATTAAGATAAGGCGTAATGCTTTTATACCAAGTGCATGTCATTTCCTAAGGAACAGGATTTTTTTGTTCGAACCAGATCTACGTTGATGTAATTTTATAACTATTAACACGAAACAAAGAATCAATACTCAAGAGAGTATTGACAGAGTATGAAATGGAAAAAGACATTACACCTAAACTGTACGGGTCTAGCGACAAAGAGGCGAATCCAATAACGCAGTAGATCGTCTGTTTATTTGCATTAGATTGGGAATATGTGAAAGTCAACTGGGCCCATTATCTATGATGTAGACCTTTCCGGCTCTGACGTAATGTTTTCACATTTCAGGCCACATGGACACTGATGAAAAACGCACTGCGCATGCGTTGGGAGAAAAAAAAACAAAATGGCGGACAATAACAATTGATCACATCTAAAGGTAGGTTTTATTTTAACCGACAGGGCTATTTTTTTAATATTCGTTTTGGAATTTTACAGATGTTTTTGGATTTCTTTACATAGAATCCGACCATGTGATTATCTGCAAATTAGCCATGCTGGATGTCGACGTCGGGCCGTGAGTGGCGGCATCATTCAAAGATTATTTTTGCTTTGTATAAACAAAAGTTTTTTTGTATAAATCAGCAGTGTATCACTATCGAAATTATCTTGCTATTGCGAAAAGGACAACCTTAACTTTTCAGCATTTTTCTTAAGTTTTGCGATTTTGTAAACAATCAAAACACCGGCATCAAAAACATAAGTTGCCCTTAGTTACGCTACGCCATCTCCGAGCGTGCGCAGTGCGTTTTTCACCAGTGTCGGCCACATGTCATTCCCTAGAGTATAATTTCTTCGTTTAAGATTTGCGCTCGGTTGTACATGAAAAGACACATGAATATGGATACAGCTCAAACAAAGAATCTTATTCTCAAGGGAATGACACGTGGTCTGAAATGAGAAAACATTACGCCAAGCCGAAGAGGTCTATTGGAAGCACAGTATAGCTATTCTGTTAGTTATTCGGTAAATGGGTATGTTTGAACGCTCCACTGATCTTAGCGTACTATAAATGCCACTTGATTAACATATCCTGATAATAATACTTCAGGGTTGTACCTTTCATGTGCTTCAAAAAGTGCACCGCGTCACCATACGATATGGGTTGTGCAGGAATACTGGGCAACTGACTCTCGTTCAATGGGCGTCGGTAAATCCCTTCTATCGATGGTAGTACAGGAGTCTGTGGATCCCCAACACCTATTCCAAGAGCCGTGTATATTGTACCTCTCTGGACCCCAGTGGGTGGCATCCAGACCGCTTCAGGGTACACTTTATCGGGTGTGGTCCCTTCAGGGGCGTATTCCTTGGGGTCTGTGTATATGATGGCTCCACTGGCGTTAAACCGTGCAGCATTTGCAACCTGTTCATTAAATAATAGGTTATGATTTGAGCTAATAATATAAGTGGTAAGTTAGAATCTGTTTTAAATGGTGGCCCGTCTTTCATGTTTTTGATCCAGCCAACTTTAATGAGACGAAGCTAGTAAGTTTCTTTTCTTTTAATAATCTAACGTAATAATTAATGATGATTCATTTTTACTAATACTTACTAATTACTAATGGCGGTGCCATTGAAGATCTTCATGGCTACAAGCATTATTAAGCTGATAATGACTAGATTTTAATAGACGGGACTGCGTTTACTACTGAGTTGGGACTAGTTTACGTACTTGTTAAATAATTGATATTAATGTGTTTCTTATCTAAATATTGTAAGTAGTTTGATAGCTTTGTAGGTCCCCTATGGATACTACCCTAGTTGCTGAAGAGCCACCCTGCTTCAATAAAAATGACATTGACATTGTTGGTGTGTACGTCCATAGTTAATTACAGTGTGTCAAATCAGTACAATACGAAGTGAATAAGAAGTCCTGAACTTGAATACAGTTTAAAAATTAACCACACCCTAAATCCATTGTTTGATGTAGGTTCTTAAATTCTTCGGAAAACCCAGATTCTTAATATAAAGCCGGGGGTGGAATTGATATCAGCAGGGGAGAACAAGGCTGAATTATAAACCCGAGATAGGTTTTTAATTACACGGATATATTGTAAGCATTCTATTTCCAAAAGAACAAAGCAACAGTAATCTACCACTCTGAATTCAATATAATTTAGTATTTCGTGTTTTGCATCGAAACAATGGAATTTAGGGCTTAGTTAATATTTTAAACCAGTTCCTTTTCCAAGCCTTTATGAAACGTTTGCAACTATAGTAACGTATCGGACGTTTGTCTTTCAAAGGAAAAAAAGAGAATCAACAATTTTTACCTTGTCTCCACGAAATATTTTCCCATACTTCATGATAGCGATTTTTCCATCCACGGACACATTCAGCTCGTTCTTCAGTTTCTCAAAGTCTTCAACCCTTCCATAGTTGACGAACACTATTTCTCCTTCAAAGGTACCGGCAGGAGCATAGCCAAGCACTGGCCTGACAACCAGAGTGTCATTCTCTGCTGCATCGTGGACCTTGAAGAAAACAATAAATAGCCTGAATATTAATTTACTACAGTAAAGAGGCTTTGCACCATCACGTGATGGCAGCCATGACAGGAGGCAGGAACAATTGAATCTGGTTTAATCTGATCTACATGAGAAAGTTTCCCAGGGAAAAAGACTGTATTGTTGTGCCTACTAAAGAAAGTCCTTTGTGGCTGCCATCAATTGATTGTTTAAAGCATCAATAGAGTTAAAAGTCCCAGAATTGGCGGAAAAGGGAAAAGATGTGCGCGCGCATATCCCGCCAAATCAGCAGTAACAGTACACGTAACAAAAAAATTAAAAAGAAGAACGAACTTTGCCTGAAGGGTCATTTAACTGAAGAAAATACAAGTGCCTTTTAGGATATACCAATGAACCATTGCATTTTTAGTATATATTTATGAATATTAGCCGTTATATTTTCCTATTAGCCACGACATACCGTTTCTTCCCCTTTGCTTGTGTAGACCACGGTACCATTGCTGTGCATCAAAGTCACTTTGTTGGGTTTGTCAACTTGAGGATACGACAAGAGAACATCGTATGCAGGCATTTCAACCTCGTCAAAACCGTACTCAATCCACCTCTTTTTCAATTCCTCTGCTAATTCTTTCTGTTGTTCTGATCCCGCTATGTGAGGCCGTTTGGAAAACCATCTGTTGAATGGAAAGTTTATTAGAAAATTAAGTTTTTATTTCTCGATTTTCGCGAGGCAAAGGCAATAAACTTGTGAAAATGTACTAACTAGTGCAAAGTAGAAGGATTACATAAATATAAACAAAGGATCTTACGCTGTATTTACTAATGCAAATGTCACCAAGTGTTAGAAATTGCAAAAAAAGTACAAATTAAGCTCAGTAGACCTCACTAGACCGTAGACAATTTTGTGAGTTAACATTTTCACGGATTTTATATGCTAAGCACTAGCTTTGCTAAATCAATGGCAATTTTTTATGCACGACTTGACCTAATGGCCTTCAAACAAAAACGAAAAACAATTCAAGTGCAGATTAACTCATTATTGAATAATTGAAATATTATCAAAGTATGTTAGAAGCAATCCTAGAAACTTGTCAATCAAATACCTATATATATGCGAGTAACACAGATCAATTGATGAATTTAAAAACAGTGAAAATTATTACTGTGCATGATTCATATCGAAAAGTAACTAAATACGGTGACATGGAGCGACAAAAGAGCCTTCAAATGAATTCAGGCCTATGCTGCTATTTTTGTAAACGAAACCTGTAGCTTCGATTTGCCCGTTGAAATTTGGTTTTTCGCTGCCTCTAGTCAAAAATATGAAAGTTACCGACTGATTAGTTTCGATTGACGGTAGTGAAAAACTAAAGTTCAGCGTGCAGCTTGCAGCTACCGAGTTCGCATGTTTATGAACATAGCAGTAATGCGTGCAAATTGTTCGCCAACCGTCCGCCTATATAGGCCAGGCCTACACAAAGTCACTCTCAACTTAAGACTTGTGCTTTATTCATACCTCACACTTTTTTCCAGTTCGCGGTTATCAACACTACTTTGGAAAGTGCTTGAAGCTTTTTCTCTGGATTCCTTGTTTGCTTTCTGCGAAGCTGGAGAAGAGGTCTCGCTTGTTGACGGTATCTTTCGAGAAAAATATCCAATGATGAAGCCAAGAAAAAACACAAGCAATACCATAACGATGATAACAAATATGCATCGACAACGCGTACGTCTTTGTTTCTTCTTTTTCTTAAAAGTAAGCTCGCTTTCATCTTGGAAGTCCATCTCTTAACAAAGTGGTTTTTGTTTTAGGTTTAGTAGACAGTACTTATTCTTTCTGTCGGGGACGCTTATTTGATAGTGATACTTGGATGAGTCTTTTGTCAGTTTAGACAGCGGCTCATTTAAAATGCTAACAAAACTGCCATGCTCGAGGTCAACTTTCTTATCATTGAATGGCTTAGATTAATTTACAAAATTCAAATTTCTTGAAAATTTCTCTTGGCTCAGAAAAATAGATTCTTAAAAAAGTACCACCAATAACGAAGTTTGGGACAAGCAGTACTGATAGTAAAATTCTGGAAACAATTAGGAATATATCTTATCTTCATTTTGACGGTTGCAATGTCCCTACCAAAATGACTATTGCTGTTGCAGAAACACCATAAAGTTATCAGATACCATATATATTCCTTAAAGATGTTCTGTATAATAATAATTAGTAATAGAGATATGATTTAATATATATGTGATTTTTTTTTAAATATGAAACCTGTCTTCAAAGCCAAGAAGACAAAAGCAAGTTCTTTTTTCATAATAGCGAGCTTATTGCTAATGAAAGAATGGGTTTTGGCAGGGCAAGAGATAGCTTTGACCATAGCTTCTGTGATAAGCAGACAGCAACGTCTTGCAGTTGAAAACGTAACTCGGGACCTTGCATACAGCTATTTTTGTAAAAAAGCTTGGTGAAAGTACGTTGTTGACTTTTTCATACGCTGCGCCAGTAGAATGGAACACTTTACCATCTAGTATTAGGCATATTACATCATTACCTTCTTTTAAAGAACACTTAAAGACATATTTTTATAGAAAAGCCTTTATTGAGTTGTTTTTGTAATTCCCATTGATTAACTTAGCTTTTATGTTTCTACTTATTGTGTATTGTTTCTGTATTCAGCGCAGATGAACACCTTGTGCTAATCTGCGCTTTATAAATGTAGTTTATTATTATTATTGAATGTTGTACGCCGCTCGTCGTTCACCAAACTTAAAATACATTATATTTAAATGTAAATAATGTCAGGACAGAACTAAATAGAACTAGATAGGGATAACTTTTTTTTCTTTCTTTCTTTCTTTTTCCTTCTATTTTCTGTATACAAGGTGATGAATTGTGAATAAACCATTGTTATGTTACGTGAAAAATATCCCTGTGCAGACAAAGTTTGAGAAAATTCCAAACTGTGGTGCCTTACGCTCACTAGTGCATTTCGGGTCTGGGTGCATACAGGCCTAAATACATCATTCAATAAATCTTCACCAACTTTTTTTGAAAAAGCTATATATGTACTACACAAACAGCACAAATGAATAAGATACGAGAAAAAGTGTTACAAATTTTATTCCTTGTCTGTCAAGTAATTGATCTTTTGTTACTGAAATGTTTCATTGTGTTCCATAAATAAACTGAAAAATTATTAGAGTGCAACAAGCTCTCTGAAACTATATGGATGTATATAATCCAAACATTGGTGGAGTTCCGTTATTGTTTATGTTATTTCAATACATAGACAACTTAAGGTGGCTCCACTGGGATTTTCTTCAAATTTTCTGTACCTTGAGCAAATTAGTTATCCTCCAATATCTCAAAAGCAATTTAAAAACCTAGGTCAAAAAACGGAGAAAATAGGCAATGAAGTAAACGCACCAACGCTTAACAGCAATCTTATATTAATTCCGATTTCAGTAAAAACATGCTCATTCGAAAATTTTATCTTTCCTTTGAAACCTCTAAAAAAATTATTATTGGATTGTTTGCATCCGAGTATTTGCGATTTGAAGTTGCATGGTATCGCGCGGATAAAACCCAGTTGAGCCACCTTAAAGTACTTTTAAAACTATAACAAAACATTTACTAAAAGCACCAATGGTTAATTTCTAAAGCTGCTATAACTAAAGACATATCACATGAAGATGCATTTTTCATGCTCTTACATAGTTAAAGTTCCGTGGATCCTTGGATAGCTAATCATTTGATTATTTTAAGGTCCTTTCTTAAAGTGCAATATATGAATGTTGACTTAAGTTACATGATTTTAGTTTTCGAAATCTTTTTCAGAATACTGCATCCCTTGACGTTAGCCTGAACAGCCAGCATCGCACCCTCAATCACCACAACTTCCACCACAGCCTCCACCACACCCACTACCACACCCTCCGCCACCACCACATCCTCCACCACCACCATCCCCACCACCACATCCTCCACCACCATCCCCACCACCACATCCTCCACCACCATCTCCACCACCACCATCCCCACCACATCCACCGGCATCACCTGCGCAGTCACCACCATCACCGCCTCCACAAGCATCACCACCACCATCATCGAATCCCCCAAATTCACCTCCAAAATCGCCATCATCAATACCACCATCTCCCCAGTCTTGGGCTCCCTCATCAAACGATCCAATATTGGCATTCTCTTCCCATTCAACGCCCTCTTCGTTGAAACCAATGCTACTTCCCCACTCTCCGTCACAATCCATCTCTTCCAACTCAACAGTATCGTAGTATTCTGGGCAGAAATCCCATCCTACGTGTCCCGTTGCAGCAGAAGACATTAAGTATACATTGGTTGGTACGGTCATACAGCAGTATCCGGCAGCAAGCATCATGCAAGGGGTGGCATAGAGAACATAGCTGTTGTTGGAAAGACTTCTTCGACGTACTCTTGTACCTGTGACACTAGTTGCTGCATATTTGTCCAATTTTGTTTTCCTACTGAGAGGCGAAGCACTCTGATCTTCTTTGGGTGCGTATGGACGACAGAGAAGGTGGAGTACAGACACGGCAAAACAAACTGCAAGGCACTGTGGGATATCTTCAGTCCCGCTTGCAGGCACGGTAATGTGTCCATCGTTGAGATCAACTTTTACTTGAACTTGAGACGAGCTACTTGGTCTGAGAACGAGTAGGAATTTGGAGTTCTTAAGCTTTTTCACTTTGCACCACCCTTGAGCATCTTCGTTAAGGTTGTAATATTTCAACCCCATGAACGAGATGTTCTTTCTGCGTCCCCGTTTGCTTTTTACTTCTTTTTTGATCCATTTTCCTACGCAAATACCATAGTCTTGATCTCGGCTTCGAATCAGCATCGCCCGAGCTCCCTCTCTTCCTGCGACCGTAACACAGTTGGGTCCTTCGTTCGATACCTCATTAGCTTCAGGAAGAGCACCAATATCTAGTACATGGGCAGTAGCAGCGAGGTTGTTGAAAATATCTAGAATCTCCACAGCAGAAAGCATACAATCTGCTGAGTGCACGATTTTGTAGGTAAAGACAACCTGTCCACGGTGATCTTTAATCTGATTGGTCGCCATTTCTCCAGGCAAAGATGCCATATCTATGTTCTTTTGCGACAGCATGAGCATCGGCTGGCTTAGAACGTGAGCCACGTGGTTGACTTTGATAAAGTTTTGCTCTGGAACGACGTCAAACTCAAAATTTCCCATGGTTGGTGGACTGACTACTCGGAATGTTAACTCCACGGCGCCTTCGTTGAAAGAAATAGCGTTAGTGCTCACTGCTGGGAATGTCTGGTTGGGATTCTCCAGGCTGTCGATGAATGTCTTAACATTAACATTTGAATATTGGAGAGGTTTTTTTCCAAACAGTCTTTTATGAAAAAGTGTAGCTGTAAAAGATGTGTCCTTAGAAGAATAAGCTTTCATTCCTGATAGCAATGGATCCATTGAATTTCCAAAGGACATTTCACCTCCTTTGACAACCTTTCTCACCTCAAAACCGTTTGAAGTGACTCTTATTTGGAACTTTTTCTTTGGGTTCAAGTGAGTGTCAATTTTCGTCAGCTCCAACTCACATATAAGCGTGGCTAACGAATTGAAGATTCCAGGCTGCCTTGGAGGTATCTTTGGAAGAGGTGTACCCCTGTGCATGGCACCTCTCTTGGAAAATTCGAGCCCTGCTTGTTTCCAGGCAACTCTCGTTAGAATTTCCGACTCATAAAGCTTTGATCCTGGAACTCTGCCAGTTTCTGTGTCATCATGGTTGAGAAGATACCCCAAAATGGCAGTCGTATCTTGATGATACTTCTCTGGACACAACTGATGTGCATGCCAGATAAGGTCAAAGTCGTAGCAAGGAACAAGAAATGTTCTTGGGTTGGCTTTCTTTAGGTTTAAGTGATGCTTGTATCTCTCTACTGCGTCTTTCAAAAACTGTGTATCTCTATAATGTGGCAGGGATACATTGTAGTAAAACTTACTTTGCCTTTCCGCAGCTGATTGTAAATTGTACTTGAGCTGGGACTTGTACTGTTGTAGGTAAGTGGGTGCCGTGGTGAGGTCCAGGTCAAAAGGCTCATCTGGGTAAAGCCGCTGCCATAGATTTTGTGCAACGGAATGATTTCTGGCAAGATATTCACTGTCTAAAAGTCCACCAAACATGGATTCACAGTCTTGCTTGTAGGCCAAAGGAGCGAGCATATGCAAGTGCCATACCCATGCCACATCAACAGGTGCGGCCTGCAGAGAGAATTTGTCTCTGTCTTTCCCTCGTTCCTTGTTTTTCTTGCTTTCTTTTGCTAGAAGAGGAAGCCAAAAGCATTCATAGCGACGGATGGCATTGTCAAGTACTGGACCACCAAATAAGACCGGATACTTGTCTACTAGCTGTAGAAAATCGAGTTCAGCGACTGCGACGTCCAACAACGTTTTGTCTCTTCCGTGTGACTTGAAAAAGTCATGAGCATCATACGCCATAATGAACTATCTTGAACTAAAAATTAAAAATTAAATGTAAGTGAAAACATTACAAAAACTAAAGGCATTACAATTATCATATGCTTTACAGAAATCAAAACAAACTAAATTAATCTGCGTAATTGTGTGCAATTGCAATATGGCCACTAATTGCATGAATCGAACCCTGAAATAGCCTTTGGGCTGATAGAAGTCAGGGCACGGCTAACTCACAGATCAAACCCTGACACAAACTCTGGGCTGATGTAAGTTATGGGCAAGACTAACTCACAGACTGGAAGCTGAAAAAATACCGTAAACATAATGAGAAACTGAATTGGGAAACACATGTATCCGAGATCTCTTGTAAGATTCCTAAAACCTTTGCTCTTCTCAGGAGACTGAAGCAAATACTCCACAATCAAGTAGTTGTAACGATTTGAAAATCGTTGATTCTTCCAAATCTTGATTACTGTAGTGCTGTCTCGAATAATTTTTGTGAAGGTGTCACTGATAATCTTCAAAAATCAAAATCAAGCTGCCCGTTGATTAGCTGGGGCTAACTATAGCATTCGTTCTACGGAGATCCTCCAAAACCTAAACTGGAAAACAAAAAACCTCAAAAAACTTTAAATCATTTTAGAGTATAATTTAGTTCATTCTATTATTTATTTTTTTTTTTATTTTTTATAGCTATTTTGAGATATCATTTTATATTTACTAACTTTTTTTTCATTCAATAATAATTATTAATTATTAGTTATAATTTATTTTTTTGTGAAGGGGTTTTTATCTTGTAGTTACAATTCTATAGTTTTTAGACACATATCTTCAAAGTTTATATATTAGAGGGCCACAGGTTTGTTAGCATATTGCTATTTAGTGCTACCCTCAGTAAATAAAGAGTTTATTATTATTATTATTATTATTATTATTATTATTATTATTATTATTATTATTATTACTGGGAGACTTTGGAGGAAAGACGTTCCGAACAACTGAAAAAAAATCATGTTTAAAACGATTAACAAAGAAGTACCTGAATAGCTTTATGAAAACTTTAGTCGATTATTGAATACGGTAAATTCTTTACAATCTCAGGAGTATGAATGACAATGTCTTCGTTAAGCGTCCACAACCCGAGGCATTTAAAAAGAGCTTCATCAACGATCTGTCCTCCAAAGCCAGACAGCCTACTACTTTAAGATCTTTTAATAATTTATATTTTTTTAAATCATTAGCGAGATGATTATTTTGATGAATCATGATTGAGATATACTCATATTTATTCATCACAAGCATGAAACAAAGTGTTTGATCTTTAGCATGCAGTACTTGCTCACAATTTACACTCAATTTATTCAAGCAACTAAAACCGGGAATCAGTAAACTAAGCAACGTGTCCAAATTTTGGCACAGAATGATGGTATGAATATTTAACCAAGCTGTGGAGACGATTGCTTAAAATTTCGTTTTTATTCCTTTCTGTATTTTGTCAGAACATGTTTTTGTTTTTTTGTTTTCTTTTTTTGTTTTTTGTTGTTTTTTATTTTTCCAGTTATCGCTCTAATAGAGTGCTTTAAGTTTTGACAGAATGTACAAGTCCTAATTGAAGTTTGGAATGTTATTTTTTTAGGCCTTCTTCTGAATGAAGCGTGACATTAGTAACATATTTGATTTTCAAAACGCTTTTATAATTGATGCAAACTAACTTTCTCCGGTTTAGTCGTCTTCCAATAAGTGCTAGAAAAAGATATTGTGAAAATGTCAGGGTTTGGTTACTAAATTAGATAATTGTTTATCGCTATAATGAGTTTGATCACTCGAAAATCTGGATGAATTTAAGATGGATTCCGTGAGAAAGAAATTTAAATATCGAGAATTTGAACGTTCAAATGACGTGACGTACGCTTTTACTTCTATATTTTGCAAATTTTGTATGTTTATATCAGACAATTAGTTTCAATGTTTTTGTACGGCGTCCTTCAATAAACTTGTTTTTTATAGAAGAATACATGGACGCCATAGTTTGCAGATATAAAATTTATCTTCTTGTCGATTCAAACTCGACATCTCACTCGTTCGCCTGTGTTCAATCATCCACCTCGAGAGATTTCGATTTGAACGTTTGAAGTTAATGTCCTTATCAGTCTTTTCTACAATGTATTATTCTAAATTTAATCGAAGAGAATAAAATCATCGATACCCAAAGTCCAAAGCAGGACACAGAACCCGTTCAAGAATACCTTGTTAGTTAAGGTCATGCATATTAAAAACGATATAGTGTAAATAAAATATTCCTTTGAACACGTATCGGTCATCAAATTTATGCACGGTAGAATTCGTTGTAACATTTTATAATAAAGCAATATGCTCAGTACTTTAAAATCTTACCATCAGATTTCTATCTCAAATCTACGTAAACCAAAGACATCTCCAAATCCTACTCCCAACTTCGTGATGAAACCAATCACTGAGTAACAAAACCTGATCATCTGAAGTCTTTATGCAAAGACGGGAGGGGATTGGGCACTTGTTAGACGTACGGAGTCTGGGCAGAGGATGATGATCCACTGGTATCCAAAGGCTTTGCACGGTTATTATTGTTTCCTTTGGCTTTCACCGGTTTATGCCATACATGTACATTAAAGCTGGTGTAACCAGGTGAAATTTAATAGTTTTATGTAACATTTGCTTCATTTTGCTCACAAAGCAATTTTCGGAGAATAGATTGTGTTTCAGGTTAAGAGAGCCTGATGTTACATAGAAAGACAGCAA